CTAGACCTGCACATTTGTTAAGATTGACCTTTTAGGAACCAGCAGTTAGCGTAATGGCTATGTCGCTGAACTCCCACGTAGTCGACCGCGGTTCAAGTCCCGGACCCGGTGGCTTAAACTCACGCTGGGTGCATGTGCGTGCGTGCCCAAGATCCCGAGAGGAGAATGGAGGAGAAGGGATTGCGGCGTGGCCATCCCCCCTGGGGGGGTGATTTCTCGCTTTCTGTCTCTCTGTCTCTCTCTGTCTGGCGAGTGCACACGCCCTATAGCAAAAACGTCTCCAAAAAAGAAAAGAAAAAAAGAAAAAAATTGACCTTTTAAAATCCTCTTCTGTTACAAAAAAAGTGTAAAGATTGATCACAGTGTCATCACTCGTTAATCTTCTTCTTCCTCATTGTTAATTTAGTATAAAGGAATGTGTTTGATGTGGTCAAGAAACAATGAATAAACTAGTGTAACTGATATTGAGCATTCATGTAAAAGACTGGCTTTGGTTAATGGATAGCCTTACATAATAGCCTGAAGAATTTTGACTTCATCTTGTGTGCAGTTTAAGGCCCAAGAAGAAATAGGGCATGCTGGGAATGAAAGAGCAAATAAGAAGTGTTAGAGAAACATGTGAATTAGTCTTCTCACTGGGGACAGGATGGTGCAGTGTAAAGAATGATGGAGGTTAGAGAATATTTGAGAGGGGAAAGCCCTGAACTGTGGAGCCAGTTTCAGGTGCACTGGAAAAGGGAATAGAGAAGTTCACATAAGCTGTCTTGGGTCACAGGAGAATGAGGTAAAAGTGAAATTGCAACTTGAAGAGCACAAGACATGGTGTAACTTTCTTTACCATCCCTCAGTTTTTTCTAACAGACGTGAGAGACAGGATCAGGAGAAGTGATCAGGAATTAACACCATGAAAGCGAGAAGAGATTCTAAGTGACAGAGAGACCATACAGAAGTCTCTGACTTCCAAGTGCTGTGTAGATAAAGGAGGCAGAAAGAGTGGATATAGAGAGATGAGTAGGTTCTGATGTGACCATTGAGTTGTCAGCTTCAATTCAAGGCCAGATTAGGAGAGAAATAAACATTATCAGAGACTGAGAGGAAATTCACTGAATAACTTGTCTTAGGAGGATATTAGGGTCATATTTGTTTCCATGGCTGAGGTGATGTTGAGAAGAATATCTGTGGCCTGAAAAAAGGACTATGAAATAAAGATATCGAGTGAGTCATCAGCGTCAGTACTGAGAATAAAGAGAGAAGACAGAGGTAGAAAGGAAAACTTGGGATCCTGAAGTCACTGGAGTATGTGGATATCTGTTAGAGGCCGTAATAAATAATGACAATAATATTCCTCACTGTATTGATCTTCCCTTCCAAATAAAGGATATGTTCATGGTACGAGCCTTGGATGACTTTGTGAAAAATGTAAATGTAATAGAGAGGGCATGGTCTTATCCTGTAAGAGGTGACTTTTTATTAGAATTTGCGTTTAATAGCTTCTCAGAAGGCATAAAGCCTCCAAGACCCATGAGTATCAAATCTAGGATTTAATTATTTTGTACTCCCAGTGGATTATTTCTTCCTCAAGAATAAAATGCCATGCCAGTATGGAGTTATTAAAAATCTTTTTATGAAAAATATTACCTGTACTAATAGAAAAGAAGCATAGTTCATTATGTTATGTTTGGTTAATAATGTAACAGCAATTTATTTTTCAGTTTTTAGTATGTGTTTTTATGACCTACAAATCAAATGTGTTATAAATGGTTATTTGACTTTTTTTAATGAAAAATTATATGGCAGTTAAAACTTTAATTTCTTATAGTATTTTGTTAGCAATTTTGTGAATGTCAGTTTTAATGTACTGTTTCTTCCTTGAGTTTTACACTAAGCAAGTATAAGAAGTTTTACTAGGTCAGGATTATGCAAATTTTTAGAAGCATTTATTCGTAAAGATAGTTTGTTATTCTGGATATGTAAGTGATGTGGAGACCTCTGGTGGCTTAGTTTATTTTTCTACCTAAAAAGAATAACTGGATGCTAAAGAGAGAGCTACATACAGAATTTCAATTGGAAAGGATCTTGAATATTACCTAGTCAAGGTTTTTTTATTTGACAAGTAAGAGAATTAAAACATATAAAGGCTAAATGATTTTTCTGGGGGTCACACAATAAAATCAAGGCAGCACCCCAGGCCAAATTGTCCTGCTGCTGCATGCCATTGCCCCTATTAGAGGAAGTTAATAAATAAATGTGAAAAGTAAAATGACACATTATTTTGTAATTCCTATACACTTTATCTTTAAAATGCCTCTTGCACCTATGCTGTCCTCTACAGCTTCACTTCCTCTATACAAGGTCTTACATCTCTCACAGGAAGATTGCAGTAACCTCTAGGCATTCTCTCTGCTCTTATTCCCTCCTCCACTACAAACACATGTGCCTTCACCCACATCTGGTGATTATCTTCAAGCCACCAGATCTGGAATTCAAACCATGGTTGGTCATGTGAGAATCCAATGCCTTAACCAGCACACCACTGGCTGGCCCCCAAAATGCTGTATTTTTACACTATGTTCTTTCAAATTGTAGCCCTGCCTTAATGTGTGCTCTTGGCTATAGTATTTAACCTATTTGAGTTACATTTTTCATCTATCAAATGGAAATGCTAGAACTTTCTTAAAGGAATTGTTGAAAAATAATCATATAAAGTACCCAGCACACAGTAAGTGCTTAATGGATGGTAATTTTTTTGTGCACTCACAGGAAATATATATAGAGAGAGACAGTAAGAGGGAAAGTGAGAAATCACCCCCCACAATCCCTTCTTCTCCATTCTCCTTTCAGAACTGTTGGGCACATATGCACATGTGCCCAGCATGATTCTCAAGCCACGAGGTCTGGGACTCTGAACTGCTGTCAGTCATGTGGTAATCCAGTGCCTCAACTACCACACCACCAGCTGGCCTCTAGATGATAGTTTTTATTGGTGGATTTAGTTTATTATATCAAATTTCTACCTCACTCCAAGGAGAACTTTTTGAGGGCAGAGACTTTATTGTTATGTCTTCAAGGCTTTGTCCAGTACCTGACACGTAAAAGGTGCCTAAGCAGTATGTGTTGAATGGAACGGCCATGAAACCTTTAGCAAATCATTAATATTTGTGATTCCTAATTCCTTATGATAAAAATTGGGGAACAATTAATGAAATGAAATGATGCATGGTACCTGGTTCATAGTTATAATTCAACAAACAGTAGCTGATGGCAAAATTACCCTTATCTTTAAAGAAAAAAAGATCAGGGACCAGCAGTTAGTGTAATGGCTGTCTCTCTGGACTCCCATGTAGTTGACCGCGGTTCGAGTCCTGGACCCGGTGGCTTAAACTCACACCGAGCGCATGTGCGTGCGTGCCCAAGATCCCGAGAGGAGAATGGAGAAGGGATTGCGGCGTGGCCATCCCCCCTGGGGGGTGATTTCTCGCTTTCTGTCTCTCTGTCTCTCTCTGTCTGTCTGGCGAGTGCACACGCCCTATAGCAAAAACCTCTCAAAAAAAAAAAAAAGGAAAAAAGATTAAATATTAGCTCTTAGATAGACTACATTTATAGAACTATCTCTTCCATGTGCACCCTATCCCCAGGGACCATACTCTTTCTTTGACTGCATTTCCTTCCCCACACTCTCATACTCCAGGAAAGGTGGTTTAGTGGGGAGAAAATAAGATTTTCAAAACTGACAAACCTTGGGCTAAATCCTGACCATATGATTTACATGACCTTGAGAAAGTTAATTAAGCTTTTAAGACTTATCTGAAACTGGAAGAAATAAGAATACTACTACTTAGTATGTGGGATTATTTATGTGTTGGTCTATTAAAACTTTAGAGCCCAAATAGGGCCCTATTAATCTTGCCTGGAATATAGTAGGTGCTCAAAAAATATGTAATGACTTGAATATGGCACCAAAAGCTTTTTAATGTTAGGAAACCATAAATAACAAGGACAGTACAAATGAGGTATCACAGACTACTAGGTGCAGAAGAAAATAAAATTAAAAAGCAAAAAATAGAGACCAACAGATGGCGTAATGATTATGTCACTGGACTCTCACATAGTCAGGTGAAGTTTGAGTCCTGGACCCAGCAGCTTCAAACTCAGGCCAGGTGTGTGTGCATGCATGCCCAATATTCCCTAGAGGAGAATGGAAGAGAACATATTGTGGTGTGGCCATCCCCGATGGGGGATGATTTTTCACATTCTTTCTGTCTCTCCAGTGACTATACTCACCCTATAGCAAAAATCTCTCTTTAAAAAAATTTTTTAAAAAAAGGCAAAAACATGGTGTTAAGCAAAAAGCTAGAATGACAAATAGAAAAAATGGGACTAGCAGATAGCGTAGTGGCTAAGGCAGTGGACTCACACGGTCGACTGTGGTTCAAGTCCTAGACCCAGTGGCTTGAAACTCGTGTCTCTCTGTCTGTCAAGGAAACATACCCTAGCAAAAATCTCTCTCTCAAAAAAAAAAAAAAAGGCAAAAGAAATGACAAAATTTGATCAAATAATAAAAATATGGTGACATTTGAATGAAGAGAGATGATGAAACTATAAACAGAAAAAAGACAGAAAAAATATTTTCACATTAAGTAGTGGGAGTGGTAGAGAAAGCAGCTCTGAACATAAGGTAATAGTAGCTATACCTTTACAGCTTCTAGACATTAGCTCCTTTCACCCTCACAACAGACAGGGAAGTGGCTATCATAGTCCTCTGCTTAAGGTTGAGGAGACAGTTCAGCAAAGTTAAATGACATGCAAGATAATGTGCAGGCAGACCCAGAGCTTGAATATGGATCTCCTGACTCTGAGTTCAGTGTTTTTTCCAATACAGTAGGTAACCTATACTGAAGAAAGGTAGGAGAGTTAATAAATTTATAGTTTATAAATTAATCTATTTAGCATTTCATGTCATAGTCTAAGGATTATTAAGGAAAGGTATATTTGTCTTTCAGTTTATGCCTGTTCAAGTACCAAATGATGAAGAAAAAACTGATCCTGTCCTTTTTGCCAGTAGAGTCCGGAACTTAATGGCAGAGTAAGTGTCTATATATAATTATAACCAGTGGATAATTGAAAATCTTAGTAAATGTCATCTAACATAGTTTTAAGACCCTCCCACTCCAGGTTCCCAAGAGTCTCTCTCTTCTTAATTCATTTTGGCAAGTAAACTAATATGCCCAGAGATGCAGTCAGTAAAACAATCTATATGTATTTTCCCCATCTGCAGCTCCAAATTGATGGAAATGTGTCTCTTTAATGGAAAGACGGGGAGGTACAATAACCAGAAGAGACCAGTCAGTACCACCTATAACGCAGATTCTTCTAAGCTGACCTGTCACCCTTAGACAGTGGTTCCTGCTATTGCCTGCCTGCTATCCCTTCAGCCTCTATATAGCTTTTTAAAGCTGGGTATTCAAAGACATTAGTGATTATTGCAACAAAAAAGGAGAAAGTTGCTAGGGAAAAAGTCACCCTGTAAAGTGATGGGTATAAATTTAGGATTTAGAAACTTCAAATCTAAGGTTAATACTTTCTTGCACTTAAAGAAGTTTTAATTTGGCCACTGTTCTGATAAGATAATTCATCTCTTGTCTTAGAACGAAAGAATGTGTTATACTATACCACCACCCAGGCGGTCCTCCAGGTGTGTACCTTCTCTTTAGGCACCACTTCACTCAATCATTCCCAGTAGTAGTAGGCTTGGAACCAGTAGGTTATCAGTGTTTATTCTCTTTGTAAAAATTGAACAAAAACTCTGCGTTTAGCTTCATATCTGAATTTGGCTTTACAGACAGATTCTATAGACATATGTATATTTTATTCTGGTATTATATGTATCTTTTAATATTACATAGAAGAATAGCTTTTTTATTTTAAGAGAGTTTTTTTGTTTTGTTTTGTTTTGTTTTGTTTTGCTATAGGGCACATGTGCTTACTGGAGACAGAAAGTTAGAAATCACCCTTCGGGGGGATGGCCATACCACAATCCCTTCTCTTCCATTCTCCTCTCTGGATTTTGGGCATACACAAATGTACACATGCCTGGCATGAGTTTCAAATCTCCAGGTCTGGAATTCGAACTGCTGTTGGCCATGTGCGATTCCACTGCCTTAACCACTATCTATGCCACCTGCTGCCCCCCAGAATCACTTTATTTTTCAAAATTAAATATTTGAATGTTTTGCAAAAAAAAAAAAAATAGAAAGAAAGAAAAGAAAAAAAATAAATTGCTACTAAATGTTCCAGGATGTACTTATATTATCTAGTTTCTAGACTAGTTATAAAATTCATTTTCATATTATTTTCTTCCCTTCCTTTTTTATATCTTCATACCAGCTTATGTACAAAAGTTAGAATAAGTAAGAATAGTTAAGGTAAGTATTTAGTAACTCAGAGAATTTATAGGAGGTATTTGGCTTCTTAAAAAGTGCCCAAAAACAGAGATGGGATCTGTTTAGGCAGGCTTTTTTTTTTTTTTTTTTTTTTTTTTTTTTGGGGGCATGGGGGAGGTTAGCTTCATATCTGAATTTGGCTTTACAGACAGATTCTATAGACATATGTATATTTTATTCTGGTATTATATGTATCTTTTAATATTACATAGAAGAATAGCTTTTTTATTTTAAGAGAGTTTTTTTGTTTTGTTTTGTTTTGTTTTGTTTTGCTATAGGGCACATGTGCTTACTGGAGACAGAAAGTTAGAAATCACCCTTCGGGGGGATGGCCATACCACAATCCCTTCTCTTCCATTCTCCTCTCTGGATTTTGGGCATACACAAATGTACACATGCCTGGCATGAGTTTCAAATCTCCAGGTCTGGAATTCGAACTGCTGTTGGCCATGTGCGATTCCACTGCCTTAACCACTATCTATGCCACCTGCTGCCCCCCAGAATCACTTTATTTTTCAAAATTAAATATTTGAATGTTTTGCAAAAAAAAAAAAAATAGAAAGAAAGAAAAGAAAAAAAATAAATTGCTACTAAATGTTCCAGGATGTACTTATATTATCTAGTTTCTAGACTAGTTATAAAATTCATTTTCATATTATTTTCTTCCCTTCCTTTTTTATATCTTCATACCAGCTTATGTACAAAAGTTAGAATAAGTAAGAATAGTTAAGGTAAGTATTTAGTAACTCAGAGAATTTATAGGAGGTATTTGGCTTCTTAAAAAGTGCCCAAAAACAGAGATGGGATCTATTTAGGCAGGCTTTTTTTTTTTTTTTTTTTTTTTAAGGGAGTACGGGGACCAGCAGATGGCATAATGGCCACGTTGCTAGACTCCCATGTAGTTGACCACGGTTTGAGTCCCAGACCCAACGGCTTAAAAGTCACTCCAGGCATGTGTTGTGTGCACGCATGCGTACGTGCCCAAAATCCTGAGAGGAGAATGGACTGCAGTGTGGCCATCTCCCCCAGGTGATGATTTCTTGCCTTCTGTCTCTCTGTCTTTCTCTCCTCTCTGGCGAGTGCATGAACCCTAAAGCAAATATCTCTCTAAAAGTATTTTTATGCATCTGTTCCTTCTTTCCCATAGGAGTCCAGTGACATAGCCATTACACCAACTGCTGGTCCTGGGACCAGTCCCCTTTAAGACTCTTTCTCCTCATGTGTGAAATGAGAATTACAATCATTGCCTGGCCTTTCTCATGGTTTTAATTATTATGAGGCTTAAGTAGGAAAATACATGGTAAAAACAGTTGAAAATTGTAAGAGCAAGTAGATGTAAGGCAGTGTGAGTATTACAACTCCTACTAAATGTTTACCAAGTACTGTGTGAGACATTTTACCTGTGTTATTTAACATCATCTTCACAGCAACTCTGTGAAGTAAGTAAGGAACAGACTCAGAGAGTTAAGTAGTTTTTTCCAAATTATACTATATAGTAACTGAGCTGGGACTCAAATTCACATTTTCACTGTCACTAAAGTCCAAGATCTTAACTACTATTCTGTACTATTTATTATTATGATTCTTGAAATATTTAAAAAATTTATTTTCCATCTTACATATGCTTACATCAAAATATTAATTAAAAACAGCCTAGGAAAAAAGTTTTAGATAGAAATAGTGTAATATTCTGATTGTATTTGTTTTGAATTTAATGTCCCTAATAAAGATTCAACAAGATCAAATACAGTTAAAGATCTAATTTTATGATTTTCACTGAATATTTGTGAATAAAATTTCGTGAAGAGGAATCTTCAGGAAATTATTTTATGTATCAGACAGCCTTTCTTCTTGGTAATCAGTGCTTTTTGTCTGTTTGTTTTGTTTTTTTTTTAGTTCTCATTAATATGTACATTTTTTTCAAATCTATGTCATTATCATTCAGTCTCTGAGCAGTAGCAAGGTAGATAGTAGGAATTATACTATCCTTTGTGGCTGGAGGATGTTTACTAAGTTATTATTAATTTGTTTCAGTATTTTTAGAGGATTAATTTGTAACAAGAAGATGATCTCTAGTTACAAAAGATGAAAAAACACAATTGCTAGCAGTTTGTATACCTCTTTCACTTAAAATATGTACAAATGCCATTTACCTATTTAAATAGTACCCCCAAAGTCATTCTTATTTTGTCCTTATACTAATCCTGTGGAGTAAGTAAAACAATTATTCCTATGTGCAGATAAGAAAAATGAGACTTAAGTGCCGAAAGTCCACATCTAGTAAAAGATTTCACATGGACTTGAACCTATCTTTTAATTTTCCATGAAACTTAGATCAGTTATTATTATTGTTCTAGTTAAAACACAGAACAAAAATTATTAGCTACACAGACAGAAGCATGTAGTCATGGGAGATTAATTTGGACCCCAGAAAATATGTGAAGAAGTAGAGAACTATGTCTCTTCAGCAAGAAATGCCAAAGCTACTGGTTTACAAAGTAATAAATACTTTTCCACATACTATTTGTTGAGCCGCTTGTGTCTCATGAAAAATTATTACTTTTTTTTGTAATTGAATTTCTGTTTATTTCTTGATACTTTTAGAGCTCTGGGGATACCAGTAACAGATCATACCTATGAAGATTGCAGATTGATGATTACAGCAGGACAGCTAACATTGCCTATGGAAGCTGGGTTGGTGGAATTTACTAAAATTAGCCGGAAATTGAAGTAAGTGTATTTTAAAATTATACTTTTGAACATCAAAATGTTCAGATGGGATATGAAATCTCATATGTTTATTTTCTCTTGCTTTATTAATGATGACTCATATCATATTTAGAAGTTGAATATTCCTTATCTGAAAATGCTTGGGACCAGAAATGTTTCAGATTTTGGAAGTTTTTGGATTTTGGTATGTTTTGCATATTCAGAATGAGATAGCTTGGGGTTAGGACCCAAGTCTAAACTTGACATTCACTTATGTTTCATATACACTTTCTACACATAGTCTAGAGGTAATTTTACACAATGTTTTTGTATTACAGCATTTTGACGGCAACTCATCACGTGAAGTTGGAGGTGGAAATGTCCACTTGTGGTGTCATGTTGATGTTCATAATATTTCAGATTTTTGAAATCTTTCAGATTTGAGATTTTTGGATTAGGGACACACAATCTGTATTAGAAAAGCCAGGATTGTGAATTTCTTTCTCATTTTATTCATCTAGTTTTGTTTTCTCAAGAACAATTAACTCAGACCTATATATATATTGGCCTCAGATGGAGAAAGAGATAGTAAATGTGGATCTATACAGAGCCCCCTATATACCTGGAAATGGTACAAAGTAGTAAATATTGCTATTTTCTTACAAGAAGGATGGCATAATTAGATGATACTGGCAAGTGGTAGTCAGAACTTCGTGTGTGGGGACCAGCAGTTAGCGTAATGGCTGTGTCGCTGGACTCCCATGTAGTTGACTGCGGTTTGAGTCCCGGACTCTGTGGCTTTAACTCACGCTAGGTTCATGTGTGTGCATGCCCAAGACCCCGAGAGGAGAAAGGAGAAGGGATTGCGGTGTGGCCATTCCCCCGGGGGGTGATTTCTTGCTTTCTGTCTCTCTGTCTCTCTCTTTCTGGTGAGCGCATGCATCCTATAGCAAAAACCTCTCAAAAAAAAAAAAAAAAAGAACTTTGTGTGTGTAATATGAATTGTATAGTAGTACTTCTGACCATCACTGGACTTTAAATACTCTTGATCTAGTTTTTTCTTCTGTATCTATTATTTTTAATGACCTAGCCCTCCTTTGGACTTTTATGATCTAGTTTAAGTTATTTAGAATGTTCTTGAACTATCTGGTATATACAGTCTAAATCTCAAACCCCACTCTTACTATAGTTGTCAGCGTCATTAAGAATTTCATAACTTGTTTGTTTGCTAGCCTCTCTAGGGAGGAACTGCAGAACCAATTACTATATCAAAGTTTAATACTAAAATATAATATTTTTATAACTGATATAGAAAATATTATTTTTGTTTTCTAGATAACAAAAATGTTTTGCTTTTATTTTGATGTTCACAATATTCAGTAGATTTGAAACTTTAGATAGTCTGAATTGGATACAGAAGACAGATGTGTTAGGTTACTTGTTAAATTCTACAAGGCAAAGACAGGAGGTGTGATGTTAGCTATGTATATTTTCCAGGGTTTTATCTCCCTGGTTTTTTATAACTAATATTTGAGGAAGTGTATATTGACTTATAAATCTTCCTATCACAAACAATGGAATATGAATTTATTATCAGCCTGAAAACTCCTCAAAAGCAAGAACTGTACTTTCCTTTGTTAAGAATGGAATGAAGGAAACCAGCAGTTAGCATAATGGCTATGTCTCTGGACTCCCACGTAGTTGACCGCGGTTCGTGTCTCGGACCCGGTGGCTTAAATCTCACGCCGGGCGCGTGTGCGTGCGTGCCCAAGATCCCGAGAGGAGAATGGAGGAGAAGGGATTGCGGCGTGACCATCCCCCCTGGGGGGGTGATTTCTCGCTTTCTGTCTCTATGTCTCTCTCTGTCTGTCTGACGAGTGCACGCGCCCTATAGCGAAAACCTCTCCAAAAAAAAAAAAAAAGAATGGAATGAATACTATTTGCTTACTAAGTAATGTTTAGATTAAAATTTATTTTCTCATATTCTTCTCATGAGTCATTTATTATTCTACCACTTTGCTTTTCTTATCATTTACTTATCTTTCCCTCAGATATTTAGGATAACTATCAATTATATCAATCCCTTTTAAAAATTAAATGCCTATAAATATATCTTACATGTACTTTTAAAAACCCATTTTATTCCCCCTCTTTTTTAATTTTAATTAATTAATTTATTTATTTGCCATAGGGATATGCATTCACCAAAGAGGGAGAGAGAAATAATCTCCCAGAGGGGATGGCCACACCACAATCCTTCTCCTCCATTCTCCTCTTGGGGTTTTTGGACATGCATGTACATGTGCTTACTGTGATTTTCAGGCTGCCAGGTCCAGAACTTAAACTGCAGGGCTAAGTTGGCTACGTGGGATCCAGTGCCTTAACATTCTTGCCACCTGCCAACCCTCTCCCTTTTAAATTTCACACTTAAATTATACCCCCTCAGACAAATCAATAAGATAATATTCATGAAATTTTTACATGAGTTAGAAAGGACTAATCATATGTATTTATTTTTGTTTGTTTAGATTAGATTGGGATGGCATTCGCAAGCATTTGAATGAATATGCATCTATTGCAAGTGCCTCAAAAGGTGGAAGAATTGGAATTGAAGAATTTGCAGAATATTTAAAGCTGCCTGTTTCAGATGTCTTGAGACAACTTTTTGCACTTTTTGACAGGGTATGTTAAAATTTTTGTTTTAACATTTCTGCTCCTCATGGATGAAGACAGATTATTTGTAGGTTGTAAGCAAACCCAGAAGAGAGGTCCAGGCACTATATACAGAAGAAGGTTGCTTAACAGCATCATGCTAAAGAATAGTTCATCTATGAGATCACAGAATAAGTCATTAGGAACATTAATGTGCTCTGGGTAGAAAGAAAACAACTCTATCCTGGTTTCTGTTATCAAGCTATAATTCTTTGGAAAATATCTTTTCCTAGTGGTTAGTAGAGGACTAGGACTTCTGGTGCCAGTCAAAACAGAGTACGCCCAGTTTAGCCTGTCTTTCCTGTTTACAACTAGAACTCGGAACAAATATAAAAAGCAACTATGGATAAAATATCATTGCAGAAGAGTGGTGGAGAAAGTCAAAACATGAACAACCAGGACAAGAGATGAAGAAATAGAAAGGGACAAGAAACAGGGACAAAGGAGGAAATTTATAGCATATCTTAGTCACCGTGATTACCAGAATTTTAAATCAAAACTAAAAATAGTACCTATAGAGGTTGCTCTGTCCTTAGGTGTCAAACTGCCATAGTTTGTAGTTACAAAATCATTATTCCATCAGTTCTGTCTTTTGATGATTGATGATACCTGCTAACTGTTCCATTGTTTCTAGAGTATTGTTTTTGGCTTGTTTTGTTTTTTAAACTTTTTAAATTATTATTCAGTTTGACCATATAGAGACAGAGATAAGGAAAGAGAGGGAGAGTGAGAAAGTAAGCCACCAGGTCCAGGACTCAAACTGTGGTTGGCCATGTGGAAGTCCAGTGCCTTAACCACCATGCCACCTGTGAGCCCCTAGAGTATTGTTAAGTGTAGGGAGATTTGGGTGTGGAAAAAGTGAAGATTGACTCGATTGACTCTCTGAACTAGAGAAGATAATAACTCTGGTCTTAGGAGACTGATAAACCTTCGTAGTCAATTTGGTCAATCACATTTCTGCATACATTGATTCAATAGACACATATTATTTCAAATTATGAGTTTTTTTTTCTTTTGCCAATTCCCCCTGTGGGTGATTTCTCACTTTCTGTCTCTGTCTTTCCAGTTAGCACATGTGCCCTATAAGAAAAATTTCTCTGAAAAAAAAAAAAAAAGTGAAAAGCACTTTTTTTAAAAAATCACCAATATACTAGAAGTTCAAGAAAATATATAATTTGGAAAAATAGTAACTAATGCATTTGATTTTTCTTTCTTTCTGTCTCCCTTTCTCTCGCCCCCCAGTCTCTTCCTTTCTCTCCCCATCTCTCCCTTTCTCTCCCCCTCTCTCCCTTTCTCTCCCTCCTCTCCCTGTTTTTAACACACCTGCATGTCTATGCCTGTGAATATTTGCTTTGTTTTGAGAAACTGAATTATGCAATTGTTACCACACCTTGTGCACATACCCACTTCCATGCTAGGCTTGTTTTCTTAGTCTCTTTAAGTGATTTAACTAGGGAACATTTGATGGGAAAGGCAAGGAAGTTCAGCAACTCCATAGTTGCTTTCTCTCAGACTCGCTTATCTTGCTAAACGTAATGCTTAAAGAAGAGTTGGGGGTAGGGAGGGAAAGGCAGACTATTCCTATTGCTTTCTCAGCAGCTATAAATTCTTGCAGTGTAAAAATGTTCCCATAAGCCCCACCTGTGTTACCTTCCCACATCATCCCCATTTTTCCCTTCCTTCATTTCTTTCCACAGTCTTTCCCCAAGTTTAATGCAGTTGTAGTTAGAATTTTGGTGATGGAGGGAAGACTTGAATATCTGTCCCCTATTCCCTTATTTTTTTTTTTAATTTAACCTATATTCTTGGCTAGTCTACAAAAATTTCATAATAGCTTTTGTCTCAATTTGTCCTAAAAAATATGCTGCCTATAAAACACCTTCTAACATATTTAGATTCTCAAATATTTGATGGCAGTTGGAAGGTCCAAGAAAAATGTGGTATTCATGATCCAAAACAGAGTGTAATTCATTAATTTGAGATAATTGCCTTTGGAATGATCCCAACTCTGAAAAACATAGTTTGCATCTTTTGCTTTAATTTAACTTAGTTTTCTTTCTTTTTTTTTTTTCTGTAGAATACCTGTGCTCACCAGCGAGAGAGAGAGAGAGAGAGAGAAAGTGAGAAATTACCATTCAAGGGGATAGCCACAACTGCAATCCCTTCTCTTCCATTCTCCTAGGATTTTGGGCACACACACACACACACACACACACACATATGCTTGGTGTGATTTTGAATCCACCAGGTCCAGGACCAAACCACAGTGGGCTGTGTGGGAGTTCAGTGACATAACTGCTACACCATCTGCTAGTCTCTCCCTGCCATATTTTCTAAACTAATAAGAAACAAAGGTTGCTGGTAGGTTTAAGAACTGGATTGAGGGCCAGCAAGTGGTGTAGTGGTTAAGGTGTTGGACTCCCACATGGTCTAAACAATTTGAGTCCCTCTCACTGTCTCTGTTTCTCTCCAGTGAATACAAGGACCTATGGCAAAAACTTAAAAAACAAAACCAAAATCAAAAAACCCTAGATTGAAGGATTTTAGTCAGTGCTTATAATAACCATTGTGGTTATCTAGTTTAAAGAGAATCACTATGGGGACCAGCAGTTGACATAATGGCTATGTCATTGGACTCCCATGTGGTCGACTGCAGTTTGAGTCCTGAACTGACCCGATGGTTTAAATTCATGCTGGGCGCATGTGCGTGTGTGCCCAAGATCCCGAGAGGAGAATGGAGGAGAAGAGATTGTGGCTTTGCTTTTCCCCCCTGGG